CACATAATTAATATTAAGATATTTTGAATTTTTTTAAAAAATTCTATTAGTTTATATTTCTTTTTCTTTCTTTCTTTTTCTCTCAAATGAAGCAATCCTGCTAATATCATTGTATTCAATCACAAATCACAGCTCAGGAACGAGGTACAGTCCAAATAAATACACCCAAAATTGTACAGTAATTCGCATAGGAACTAACGTAAAAAAAGCAACACAAACATGGCTGTAAGGATTCTTTTTTTCTTAACAACTATTTTTTTTGCAAGGTACATGGAAAAATTTGGAAAGACTATGCAGTAAGAAACAAAAGCTGTCCATCCCTTAAAAAAGAAAAAAAAAAAGGCTGAGTTTTATTCCGTTTTAGTGCTTGTGTTACTCCTTTAATCTGATTTTCCAACCATAAAAAGAAGCTAGCTGGAGGAAGAACTGGTACTGCCCAAATTCCTATACCAATTTTGGAAAATCGAAATTAATTTGTTTGAGTTAAAATTTTCTTTTATTATGGTAAATTATAAGTTAATCAGGTTACAATTAAAAATTTTATAAGAAATTTCATTTTTATTAACTCTCTAAACAAATCAAAATTGACCAACAAAACTTGGAAAACAAAAACATTTGCCCAATCCACGGTATAAATGCCATTTATTTGTGGTTTAAGTGGTCATATTTCTTTTTAAAAAGTAAAATAATAGCATTTTAGTGATGTAAAATTTGAGTTTGAAATTTGACACTCTTCTATTTTTTAAAAATAAATACTAACATTATCAATATAATTATTATTTTCCAAAAAAAAAACATGCTATAAAAAAACACACACATATTGCTGTAATTTAGCACACATTTATTAGTTTCGAGTCACAATCTTACATAAATAAAAATTGTTTGAGAGTACGATCCTTGTAATTTGATACTTACCTCTCTTTTTATAAATAATTTTTTATGTTAAATTTAATTTAATAAATATAGGATTGGAATCGCACGACGTTAAAAAAAAAAATATTTTCGAAGCCAGTCAAATCAAGTAGCAGCTGTCCCAGTTAAAACCAAGCAGCTAAATTAATTCGATCGTCAGCGATACCAACGAACACAATAAGTTTGACAAAGAACGGGTCTTTTTCAGGAAAAATCAAAACACTAAACAACTCAAACGGTTTGCACCGCGTGGACCTCAAAAAAATGTATTTACGGTTTCTCACTCGATTCCATGCTCCTGCCTTCCCTCCTCTATATACACCCCCTCCCATTACACCTCTCCCACATCTTCATACTCTCAACCAGGAACCACGAACTATTCTCTTCTTCTGTCTCCAAGCAACAATTCAACATCCATATTCGATTAATTAACAGAGGAATTTTCAGATGAGGACTGTCTTCTCTAAGTCACCGTCGCCAGCGAGGACCACCCCACCACCTTCGCCGCCCCGCCAGACTTTTTCAGAGTCCTTAATGGACGAGGACATCGAGGTGGCTCAGTCGATAATTACTAAATGGGACTCTTCGGACTCCTCCTCCTACCGCAAAATCGACTACCTCTTTTCCCAGGAGAACCGCCACGAAGTAAAACAATATCTCAATTCCATCAAGCAACTCCAGCGCGCTATGCAGTACTTCGTCTCCGAGAATCCGATGGCGGAGAAACTCGTCCGGGCTCAGAACCTGATGCAAACCGCCATGAAACGGCTCCAGAAGGAGTTTTACCAGATTCTCAAGTCGAACCGGGATCACCTTGATCCAGAGTCTGTCTCCAGCCATTCCTCCTCCAGAGCTTCTCCCTCGAGATCGAGCGTCTCAGATTTCGAAGACGAGTCTGAGTACGAGTCGAGGCACGAGAACGAGGCGATTTCTGAAATGGAGAGAGCTTCGACGGCGGCCATGGCGGATTTGAGAACGATTGCGGACTGTATGATTTCCGCCGGTTACACGAATGAGTGCATCAAGATTTACAAAATTATTCGGAAATCCATAATTGATGAGGCTCTTTATCATCTCGGAGTTGAGAGATTGACTCTCTCACAGCTCCAAAAGATGGATTGGGAGGTTTTGGAGATTAAGATCAAGAGCTGGTTAAACGCGGTGAAAGTCGCCGTGAAAACACTGTTCTACGGCGAGAGAATCCTCTGTGACCAGGTGTTCTCTGCCTCGTCGTTGAGAGAATCTTGCTTCTCCGAAATTTCTAGAGACGGTGCGCTGGCTCTGTTTGGATTCCCAGAAAACGTAGCCAAATGCAAGAAAACACCGGAGAAAATGTTCCGCATACTAGACCTTTATGAGGCGATTTCTGATCTATGGCCTGAA